TGCAGACGCGCGGTCGCCTCTCTACCATCAGCTCGCTGAGAGCAGGCAGAAAGGCAAAGCTGGGGACTCAATCCCCGACATAATTCGTATAATTTATAGGGCAGTATGGAGCCAGTGGACGCACAGTGATTCTGTACGCCGCCACACGTATGGCCCTGCCTCAATACACACACACACTAGGAATCCGGAAGCAGTTGAGCATAATTCAGAGAGGTTTTTGCGCAGAAGCTTTTGCGCAGAAGATGTGAAAGGCATACGCACGGTGTCCTCTGAACTCTGCTCTATTTGCTCTCTGGGATACTCCCTCTCCGATCTCAGATCCGTGAGGCAGCGGAATTGTACGAGTTCAGAAGGGGGGGTAGGGGGCTGGGAAGAGATGGGAAGATCGAGAGGTTGAAAAGATGATCCTCGGCTTTACTTAACAGTCCTCCACACCCCAGCCCTGTCACATAGACACACACATGACACAGGACAACTCATGGCCAACAACACACATGATGAACACACACATGGCACACACACATTGACACACACACACATGGAGAGGAGCCGCCCCCACACACACACACACACACACACGAACACCAAAAACCACACAACACATGACACACTGACACCGTATACCACAACACATTAGCGACACACACACACACACTGAACACTAACACACAATGACACACACACACAGACACACACACACACACAACACACACACACACACACACACACACACACACCACACACACACACACAATGAACACACACCAACACACACACACAGGACACACACACACACACACACACATCTGGCGAAACACACACACACACACACAACACACACACACAACACAACACACACACACATGACACACACACTTCCACACACACATGACACAAACACACGACACACACATGACAATGAAAGACACACACACACACACACACACACACATAAAAGTACAACACATGACACAAGACACCACATGACACACACACACACACACATGAACACACACTGTAACACACACACACATGACAACACATGACACACACACACACACACACACAACACACATAACACACATGACAATGACACACACACAACACATAAACAACACACACACATGACACACACACACACGACACACACACACATGACACACATGGCCCATATGACACACATGACACACATGATACATATGACACACATGGCACACACAAGACAAACACACATGACACACATGACACACATGATACATATGACACACATGGCACACACAAGACAAACACACATGACACACATGACACACATGATACATATGACACACATGGCACACACACACATGACACACATGACACACATGATACATATGACACACATGGCACACACACACGATACACACGACACACACACACACGACACACATGACACACACACATGACACACACACACACACATGACACACATGACACACACACACATGGCACACACACATGACACGCACACACATGACACACACACAAACACACATGACATACACACACATGACACACACACACACACATGACACACATGACACACACGCATGACACACACACACATGGCCCATATGACACACATGACACACATGACACTCATGACACACACACAAACATGACACACATGACACACACACATGACACACACAAACACACATGACATACACACACATGACACACACACACATGACACACACATACACACGACACTCACACACAAACACATTACACACACACACACATGACACATACACACACGCACACACATGACACAAACACACATGGCACACACACATGACACACGCACACACACGTGACACACAAACATGACACACACACACACACATGACACATATGACACACATGGCACACACACACACACACGAAACACACACATGACACACACACACATGACAAACATGACACACAAGACACACACACATGACACACATGACACACACACACATTACAAACATGACACACATGACACACATGATACACATGAGACACATGACACAAATGACACACATGACACACATGACACACATGGCACACACACACACACACGACACACATACATGACACACACACACACACACATATGACACACTCACACACATGACACACACACACACACACACATGACACACACACACACACGACACACACACGACACACACACACATGACACACATGACACACACACATACACATGACACACACACACACGACACACATCCACACACATGACACACACACACACACACAAACGAAACACACACACACACGACACACACACACACACGACACACACACACATGACACACAGACACACACACATGACACACACACACACATGACACACACACACACACACGACACACACACACATGACACACACACATGACACACACACACGACACACACACGACACACACACATGACACACACACACGACATACACACATGACACAAACACACATGACACACATGACACACACACAAGACACACACACACACATGACACACATGACACACACACACACACATGACACACACACACGACACACACACACATGTCACACATGACACACATGACACACATGACACACATGGCCCATATGACACACATGAGACACACACACATGACACACCACACACATGACACTCACACACACACACACACATGACAAACATGACACACAAGACACACACACATGACACACACAAGACAAACACACATGACACACATGACACACATGATACATATGACACACATGGCACACACACACACACATGACACACATGACACACATGACACACATGATACATATGACACACATGGCACACACACACAATACACACGACACACACACACACACACACTGACACACACACACATGACACACATGACACACACACACATGACACACATGACACACATGACACACACACATGACACACACACAAACACACATGACATACACACACACATGACACACACACACACACATGACACACATGACACACACGCATGACACACACACACACATGGCCCATATGACACACATGACACACACACATGACACACACACATGACACACACACACACACACACACATAACACACAAACACACATGACACACACACACATGACACACACACATGACACACACACACACACACGTGACACACACACATGACACACACACACACACATGACACACACACACACACGTGACACACATGACACACATGAAACACATGATACACATGATACACATGACACAAATGACACACATGACACACACACATGACACACATGATACATATGACACACATGACACACACACATGGCACACACACACACACACACACGACACACACACGACACACACACACACACACACACACACACACACACACACGACACACACACATGACACACACACACAAGACACACACACACACACGACACACAAACATGACATACACACACACACACACACACACACACACACACACACACACACACACACACACACACGACACACACACACACACACACACGAGACACACACACACACACACACACACACACATGACACACACACACACACGAGACACACACACACGACACACACACAGACACGATACACACACACATGACACACACACACAAATGACAAACATGACACACAAGACACACACACATGACACACACATGACAAACACACATGACACACATGATACATATGACACATATGGCACACACACACATGACACACATGACACACATGACACACATGATACATATGACACACATGGCACACACACACACGATACACACGACACACACACACACGACACACACACATGACACACACACACACACACACACATGACACACATGACACACACACATGACACACACACATGACACGCACACACATGACACACACACAAACACACATGACATACACACACATGACACACACACACAAACACACATGACATACACACACATGACACACATGACACACACGCATGACACAATCACACATGGCCCATATGACACACATGACACACATGACACTCATGACACACACACACACACATGACACACATGACACACACACATGACACACACACATGATACACACATGACACACACACACATGACACACACATACACACGACACTCACACACAAACACATGACGCACACACACACATGACACATACACATAACACACACACACACACACACACACATGACACACACACACATGACACAAACACACATGACACACACACATGACACACACACACACACACGTGACACACACACACACACACATGACACACACACTCACATGACAAACATGACACAAGACACACACACACACATACACACACATGACACACATGGCACACACACACACACACGAAACACACACATGTCACACACACACATGACACACACACATGACACACACACACATGACAAACATGACACACACACACATGACAAACATGACACACATGACACACATGACACACATGATACACATGAGACACATGATACACATGACACAAATGACACACTCGACACACACACATGACACACACACATGACACGCACACATGACACGCACACATGACACGCACACACATGACACACACACATGACATGCACAAACACACACACACACACACACACATGACACACACACACACACACACATTACACAAGTGACACACATGACACACACACACATGACACACATGGCCAATATGACACACATGACACACATGACACTCATGACACACAAGACTCCCACACATGACACACACACATGATACACATGGCACACATGACACACATGACACACACACATGACATGGTACACAAGACACACATGGCACACATGACACACACACATGACACACATGACACACACACATGACAAACATGACACACATGATACATATGACACACATGGCACACACGACACACACACGAAACACACACACACACATGACACACATGACACACACACACACACGACACACTCACACACGAAACACACACACACACATGACACACACGACACACACATACACACACACACACACACACACACACACACACATGACACACACACACGACACACACATGACACACACACACATGACACACACACACACACACATGACACACACACACGACACACACATGACACACACACATGACACACATGACACACACACATGACACACACACAAACACACATCACATACACACACATGACGCACACACACACACACACACACACACACACACATGACACAC